GGAGGAGGAGGAGGAGGAGGAGAAGGAGCAAAGGAAAGAACTGGACGTTTTCTTTTAACGTGGAGATGTCCTGGTTGCTGAGACACTGTTTAAGGAACAAGGAAATGTGTATTGTTGTCAGACTCAAAATGCACCTTCTGAGGAACCCCTCTTGTGTCGAAGACACGTGCTAATATTTATGTGCTAATATTTACAGAGCTGGCTTAGGTGGCACACCTGCAATCCCACCACTCTGGGAGACTGAGGCCGGAGGATGGTAAATTCAAGCCCAGCCAGGGCAATTTAGTGGGCTGGGGAGATAGCTCAGTGGCTTAAGCACCTGCCAGGCAAGCACAAGGTCCTGAGTTTCATCCCAGTACCAAAAAAAAAATTTTTTTTAGAGCTTTAGCGAGACTCTCTCTGAAAATAAAAACAGAAAACTGGGTGGGGATGAAGCTTGACATGAACGCCGTGGTTGCAATCCCCAATACTGCAGCGGTGGGGGGGTGGGGGGAGGGGAGTTGGTTAAAAGAAACAACATAGACAAATGGGGAAGCCGAAGCCACCCTGATGGGAGTAGGGGGTGTGGAAATCCTGCTGTCGCCCCGCCCCTTCCGCCCCCAGGGGTCCAATCGCTGGGTGCGAACCTTCAGGGGCGGGGTCATGAGTTCCCACAGCCAGGAATTGCAGACAATTAAGCTTGAACTGGGTGGCTTTGGTTACAGAGGTCACCTCCGAATGATACAACCTCTCACTTGTTGTGATTGAAGGCGTTCAAGCTCACTTTGTAGAGGTGACACTGGTTGTACTCTTCTTGGCATCGTACTTGAATCAATGACTCCTTTCCCTGATGCTTAAAGACACCTCCATATGGACTCCCCAGTTCTCTGCCATTGAGGGACAGGACGCAGGCGGTACACTTAGGTCTTGCAAGATTCGTGATACATTTATCGTTAATTTCTTGTAAGAAACGTTATAAAAGAGACTTCCTAAATGGATGGCATGTCTAGCTCAGGCACGTTAGCACGCCTTACCCTGGACAGCTGGGGCTATGGAGCTGGAGACGTGTGCTGCACTCCAGGGAGCAGCTGCTGAAGGCCTTCGGGGGCTTAGCGTCGCCAGCCCGCGGCCTTGGTGCGGTCCCACACTGGCCAGGGGAGCTGGCGCACCGTCGATCTTTTCGTTTCTCTTTCCTGTCCTCCCTCTGCCCCTGTCCCTCGCCCTCTCTGCTTGCCGGTCCGTCACAGGGATCTGAGCCGGCAGGGGCTTCTGGGCACGGCTTCTTTCTGTCAGCCTTCGGCCCCTGGCCTCACCGCTAGCCCAGTGAAAGTTCTATTTTTCGTTTTTTGAGTCAGAGTCTCACTATGCAGTCAAAGCAGGCCTTGAGCTTGCTATGTAGCCCAGGCTGGCCTCAAACTCGAGATCCTCCTGCCCCAGCCTCCTCAGTGCTGGGGTTGCGTGTGGTCCCACCACGTCCCCTCACTGAGCGCAGTCTGCATGGAGCGGTACTGGGGACTGAACCTAGTGCCTTCACACGGAGCTGCATTTCCAGCCCCCTTCTTTATTTTTAATTTTTAAATTTTTGAGGTAGGGTCTCCCCCAGTCACTAAATTGCCCAGGTAGCTCCAACTTGCTGTCTTCTGGCTTTAGCCGCTCAGGGTTTCCTGGGCACAAGCGAGCGGCCCACCCACACGGCCAGCTTTCTGGCCCTTGCCGGGCTGAGCCTCCGCGGGGTGCGGAATGGAGGAGGGGCACCGGGAACGGGCTTGGGCGCTCGGGGTGATGTCACTGCGCCGTCCCGCCCGTGTGCTCGCGTGCGCCTGAGCTGCGTATGTCTGGGTAAAAAGGGATGAAGTACTGATCCAAGCTAGAACTTGGATAACTCTGAAAGACAGCCTCAAAAGCCACACACAAGAAGTCATAATTGAATGATTCCTTCCACGTGAAATATGTAGCAAGAAGCCAGTGTGGGGCTGCTGCCTGTCATCCCAGCACTCTGGAGGGCTGAGGCAGGAGGACCAAGACCAGCCTGGCCTGAACAACTCAGCAAGACCTCACCTCAAAACAAAAACTAGGAAGGACTGGGGTCAGGGAGCTGAAGATTTGGCTCAGCAGTGGAACACTTGCCTAGCAAACCAGAAGCCCTGGGTCGGTCCTCAGCCCCAATAAATAAATAACTCTCTCCTGAAAAACAATTCAACTAATGAGGACTGGGGATGTGGCTCAGTGTGAAGGCCCTGGGTTCAATCCCAAGGACAAAGAAGAAAAAAAAGAAGGAAGGAAAAGGAGAAAGGAAAGGCCCAGAAAGGGTCAATTCACAGACAGCAGCTGAGGAGTTGCCAGGGGTTGGGCAGCAAGGTGAGGGATGCTCAGAATGTTCTGGAACCAGACAGAGGAGATGGTTACACAACATTGTGACCATACTAAATGCCACTGAATTGTACACTTTAAGATGTGGAATTGAAGCCAGATGTGGTGGCGCATACCCGCCATCTTGGCACTTGAGAAGCTGAGGCAGGAGGATCGCTGAGAGTTCCAGGCCAGCCTGGACTACATAGTGAGACCCTGGCTATAAAACAAGTAAAAGCAAGATGGCTTATTGTCTGTTATGTGCATTTTACTGCACAAAGAGCATGGAGGCCTTGGTATCATATGACTCCTGGGACAGGCTTGCACCATACCACGGCTTGACATGGCATGACATCTCTATGCTGTGACACATGGGAGTGTCACAATCTTGTGTCTGCGAATAGCTCTAGTGATTCATGAAATACACGATCAGACCCAACACAGCTGGCAAGAGGTGGCCCGAAGGACACTGTGGCAGCACCAGTGGACCACGGCTCTGTATCCAGGCTTATCTCAGGGCGCAGATGTGGACACACCACTGTCACAAAGCCACCCTTCCTGACCAGAGCTCCCAGTGACAACTGGGGATGGCCTCTTCCTGTGCTGTGGGTTTCCTCCTAGATATGGAGATGACAGAGCACCTGTCACTGCCATTGCATGCTCTTTGCCGTGGGCTGGGCAGGCCTCCTAGGATGGAGCACCAGCTCCCTTCTCCACAGGCAGGGCTTGCTCTGACAGTGGTGACACATGTGAACTCATGGCAGCTCCAGAGTGGCTCATTCTGCCACAGCAGTCTGGGGAGCCTGTGAAGGGCTCATCCTTTGGTTTGGTTTGGGTTTGGGTTCTTTGAGACTGGGTCTTGCTGTGTCGTGCAGGCTGGCCTTCAACTCACTACGTAGCCCAGACTGGCCTGGAACTCCAGGTGGTCCTCCTGCCTCAGCCTCCCGAGTGCTGGGATGGCAGACATGCTTGGCACTCGCCTTGACTTGCATTCACTCAAATTAGAACACATGTATCCCTGACCCGGAGCTACATAACAGGTCTGCGGGACACCTGACTAACGTCAGGGGCTGATGCCAAAGATGCACTGTGTCCCTCCTGTGCCCCCAGGGGCTGTGGACGCCTGCCTCAGGCCACCCCGTGGTCCTGCTGCTCCCGCAGAATGTGAGGGCTCTTGTGAAGGGGAAAGCAGAGGCTAGAATGGGACTGGAGCTGCCCTGATGGCCGGCAGGGCACAGCCTCCCCAGGGACAGGCCAGGGGACACCCCAGCCTCAACCCGGCCCGGAACAATGGGAGGAAACAAGACGTCTTGTCGTCTTGTCCCACTGGGACAAGAGGCCAGACAGATAAAGGAAACAGCACAAGGAAGATAAGGGAATAAATACACAGAGCAGCAGGGAAAGGAAGCGCAGGGCGGAGCCGGAAATACACGCAGGGCTCCGGGAAGCAGGCCCACCCCCAAGGTCTGCTTCGGGCTTCTGCAAGGACTGCTCTCCTCTAGGCCGCAAACAATGAAAAGGAATCACATACTGTATTTCTACATCCTGCAAATAAATTCGTTGTTTATGTCTCATACATATTTATCTGATTTTCACCAAGAGTGAAAAATTTAAAAATTAACTGGCCAACAAATTGAACCAGTGATCTCACCAGATCTTCGCAGTAAGATATGGCTGGGTGCTGTGGTGGACGCTTGCAGTCCCGGCTACTGGGGAGGCTGAGGCAGGAGGACCACCTGGAGTTCCAGGCCAGTCTGGGCTACGTAGTGAGTTGAAGGCCAGCCCAGGTAAGCGGCGGAGACCTAGGCTTGATAAGTGAGCAAACAAAAATGACAAGAAGACAATGCCACATACGACTGCCCTTCAGTTTTGCACTTAAAAATTGTTATAATAGTAGAATCTATTTTATGCATATTTTACCATGATTTGTCTTTACTTTGAAATAAAAAATATGCCAGTGAGATCTTTGGTCTGAGGTAGGACGAAGAAGATAAGGAAAACCGGAATTCTCTCAGTTCTCTCAGAAGCATAAAAACCAGAAGAGGAAGGAGGCCCTCTCCCAATAACTTTCATGAAATCGGGAAGCAGAGCCCCCCCACCCCAAATAATGGGCTGGGGGGACTAGAGGAAGCCACCAGTCAGGCATCTGGGCCACCCAGAGCGTTCCAGGGCCGGCGGAGAGGGGGACAAAGCAAGGACCCGGATCCAGAGCACAGGACACCTAAGCCGGCTGCTGGCGGCCGCCAGCAGAGGACGCCCGAGAGCCGGGCTCGGCGACAGCGGGGCGGGGCTGGAACAAAAGCCAGCGGCTGGTGAGGACTCGGCTTGGAGAAACCCGAGCCGCGAGCAGGCCGCGCGCGAAGTCCCGCCTTCTCCGAGACAGCGAGAGCTTTTCTCGGCTCGGTGGGCTTCCATCCGCTCCTACCCCCAATTCTGGGGCGTCTTGGGCTTCCATCGGCTCCTACCCCCAATTCTGGGGCGTCTTGGGCTTCCATCGGCTCCTACCCCCAATTCTGGGGCGTCTTGGGCTGGCTGGCGGGAGCGCCTTCGGGCCCCATGCCAAGGTCTTCTGCCGTCCTGACCACTTTCTGGCAACAAAGCGCCTCCAGCCTCCCTCTGAGCTTCTTTTTTATAAATCGTTTGTTTCTTTTTGAGACAGGGTCTTGCTATGTAGCCCGGGCTGGTTTTGAGCTCCCTGGGATCTTCCTGCCTTGGCCTCCAGCGTGCTGGGGTGACGCCTGCGCGCCCATGGCCACCCCCAGCAAGGGAACCAGGAAGTGGCTGCCTCACACAAGGCAGTGCACGCTTTTTTTTTCTCAGTACCGGGGATTGAACTCAGGACCCTGTGCTTGCCAGGCAAGCACTTACTCTACTGGACCATCTCCCCGGCCTTGGTGCACGCTTTTGACCCTAACACTCAGGAAGGCCGAGGCCGAAAAATGGCATGTTTAAGCCAAGCCTGGGCAATTTAGTGAGGCTCTTTCTCGAAATTAAAAAAAAAAATTAAAAAGGGCTGGGGATGTAGAGCAATGCAAAGGGTCTGGGTTCAACCGCCAGCACCACAAAAAAAGGAGGAGGAGGAGGAGGAGCGGAAGAGGAGGAAGAAGAGAGGAGGAGGAGGAGATGAGGAAGAAGAGAGGAGGAGAGGA